TAACTTAAGGTGACTGTGAAAGGAATTAATGATGAATGAAAACAATAACAATAGCAGTGTAAACATCGTTTAAACCTCTTGCCAAATAATGTGATCCTGAATTCCACTGTTGAACTCTGGGGCTGACAAGGGTCACATGACGGATAAAACTGGCCTACAGAGCTGGAGAAATGTGGGCTTTAATCCTGGCTTAGCCTCTTACTAACTGTGTAAGGCTGACTGTATTTTTTTTTTTAATTTTAAAAATAAAAGGAAAACATTAATAGACAGACAACCTTTTACAAAATACCAAAAGAACAGTACAGACAATACAGAGTTACAAACAAAGTGGTAGGAAATTGACAATGCTTGTTGTATTACATATTGATATCTTCAAAGTGGTTTCTCATTGTATTTCTTTACCTCTATAAGATTACTTTCCCTTCTGCAAAGTCAAATTGACCTCATAGGGTTAGTGCTTGGAGTCAGTTGTTATGTAATTAATTACTCAGCCTTGTGCCCAACACATCATTTTGACAGTCATTGTGGGGACTTTTTATAACAATCATTTATTTAGCCCATGAGCGACTGAATGATTCTCCTAGTCAGTATCAAATGAGCTCTGCTGGGCTCTCGTGCGTCTGTGGTGATGGCTGAGCTGGCAATCAGAGGCTCTCGGGCAGCCTTGTGTGTGTCTGCCTGTAGGTAAGCTATCAGCCAAGGTGACAGGAGTGAGCAGGCCGAAGTCTCTCGTCCTCCAGCAGGCTAGCTCAGACGTCTTCATGGTCATTGCTGCAGAGTCCCCAAAGCAATGGGAGAGCCAGCTCCAGTGCACAAATATTTTTCAGGGCTCTGCTTGCATCACCTTTGCTAAATTCCTATTGCCTAATCAATCACTAACCTAGCCAGAGTTAATAAAAAGAAGTACTATGTGGCATTTTTGTAGTCACCTACAATCATCACTTGTCACCATCATTGTCAGACTATTTCTTGACCATTTACTAAGTGCCAGATGTTCTAATCACAGCATCTTTATCAAAGCTTGTAATTCTACTCACAACCTTGAGGCGGGTACTTTTGTATCTCCATACTTGAGAAAAGGAAACTGAAGCAGAGAATGACAAAGCCCAGGAAGGTTACCCAGGTGGCAAGTGGGAGCTAGGATTCAAAGTGATACTCTAGAGCCACAGTTATAATGACTGTTCTATAACGTCTTTTCTTCCCACTCTATGTGGGATATATTCCATGCTTTCTTCCTTTTTATAAGTGGGTGATCTGGTAGGAAAATTAACCTGATTTTAACATGTTCCCTAACCATCATCATCTACCACCACTTTCTGCACACTTCAGCATTTTTCCAGAACTGGTATGACTGAGATACGTTAACCTGAATGAGTGACTTGATAAAGACTTGTGGTGCCTTTCTGGTTTCTTGTGGTAGGGGTGTTAGCAATGATAGTGCAGCTCAGAGTTTCATTCTTAGAACTCTTCATCTTCTATTTCTTCAAACAAGTTTGAGAACCTAGAAACAAGTGGCTGACAGCAATTTGCACTAATTACTTTATATAAACATAGCATTTATATATGTAGTTTCTTGGAAGGGAATTGCACCATCTTTTGAGAGCAGAGATTATGGTTTCCCTCTTATCCTCAGCAATCAGCACAGACAAGAACACATACTGGAGTAGCTCAGAACATGTGTATGTACACATCTATCTATCTATATACATATATATAGCTATACATATATACATATCCATATCTCATTACAAGGTTCACGAACACATATACCAGTTAAAAATCAGATATTGGCCCATTACGACTACTAGAGAGTTATGAGGACTGGCATCGATGGTGAGCTCATGTCCCGTTTGGCACTATGCAGGAATGTTCAGTGCTACCAGATTGTTCTAGTTTTCGGAGGGGCTGTAACTTCAGATGTGTATATAAAATTTCTTGACTTTAAAACATTATGTATCATATAAAACCAGTCTGTCGGTTAAATCTGGCTTGTGGCCATCAATTTGCGACCTCCCTATACCAATAGTGCTTGTTGGCATTTCTGTAGTGTGTCATAACTGCCCTGAAGGTCAGATTGGAAGGAGAGATGCAGAATAAGGTAGAGATAGAACCAGGAGATGGTAAGCTAGAAAGACTTCAACAAGGATGGCGGTCGTGTATCTCAGACATTCCACAGAGTTCAAAGGGGAATAAGAAAATGCCATTAGATTAGAACAAATGATTTGGTAGTTTTCATCTAAAGGCTAAGTGTTCTTTTCAAAAGTAATCCGTGGTCAAATAATATGAGAAATACTTGAACACTAAGTTAAACAAAATAAAATCAGTATTTTTTACTCTAAACCTTCCACCTGTCTTTAATGTCCTGTTATACAACATGAGTCTCCAAAATAGGTGCATTTGTTGTTTTTCAAGCTTACGTGATTGTGGAGTCCATAGGTCATACAGTCCTTGTAGTTCTGATGTTTCCAGAAGAATACCTTGGACAAGCTGGTAAGTGACCAAGTGAGCCACTGGAGTCTCTAAAGGCACAACGTAGGAAATAGAATCATAAAGGAATGAGCAGGCCACGGGTGTGAGTGGAACAGCTTGGCCAGTAAAGGAAGTAGACAGCCCATTAGTAATTAGGAGCTGTCTGGATGGTAATCTTTTTATATAGAACCTTTGCAAGATCATTCTACTACTAAAAACTGAACAAGTCTCAGGGGTGACTCACCTCTGATGTGTTGAAGCTCTTTGCTTTAACAGTCAGGGCTCTCCTGTACCAGGCTGTCTGCCCTTCCTCACTGCCCAGAGACTCCCCTCCCTCACTGTCTGCTTCAGATGCCCTGCTCTACTGTGTCTTAAGACATGCTGCATTTGCAGCCTCTTCACTGGTTTCTATCATGAGTTACCTCCCCCACCCGTGCTTGGTAGAGCCATGTGGCTTTCCAAGGCTTAGACCTAACTCTGCTTTCCCTAGTAAGCCTTTCATGGGGGATTGTTTTCCCTGAACTTCTTAGAGACTTTCCTTCCAAAGGCCTTCCATGAGACTTAGTGTGTTGGGGATTCCATGCATGATTTAAAGCTAAGTGAAGAAAACTGTGTCATGATCTGTACAGCCCTCTACCCACATTCACCTTCACAATACAGCCAGGTAAAGTGAGGGTGATACTGTCCAAGAACACAAAAAAGCACAGGGGTAACTCCATTATACTGAATGTCATAGACCATGCTCTGTGCCATCCGTTGAGAGTAGAGGAGAGCATTCTTTCCCATGAACTTACCCAATAGTAAGGGCCCTGAGACTGAGCACATTACATGTGTTGTCCTAGTGCATTCCACAGTCTCCTAAGCCCCGTTTACAGAAAAGGAACTCTTTCAAGACATTCAAGTTATTTGCTCTTGTCAACGACTGGCTGTCCAATTGGTCAAGGCAGAGCCAGGTATACAAACCCGTATACCTGGCCCCAAAGCCTGTACTGTGTTCCAGCACATGATCCACATGGCTACAGTGGCCACCAGAAATTTAATGACAGAGAATAGAGCTAATAATTCACAGTCTGTCTCCTAGTGCCAATGATATACCACCAGGCAGAAGAAAGCAGGGGGGAAAAAAGCTAGTTAGCATCAACACAGTTTGACAATAATGGAGGTTCTGAGTACTTTGCAGGGTTTCACAGGGACTTAGCAGAGCTCAGCAGGGGTCTTCTTAAGACCTGTGGTGACAGTGAAATTTGGGATGTCCAACAGCATAGGGCATATGAATGGCTTAGAGGGTGTGCATGTGTCTTCCCTTTCCTGGATACTGATTGATGTCACCAAAGATGGTGACCTCCTTTGCTACCCTGCAATATTCTTTGCTATTCTGATTGAGAGGTCTGTGGGAGGAGAAGCTAATTTGTTCACACTTGACATAGTGGCTTTCCACAAACACATAGTAATCATTGGTTGATTTGGTGAATAATGACAAGTCAGCCAAGGCAAGGTGCTCATTGTGGCATGGTGGAGACCACACAATGGGATAAACCTCTGTTCCACCATCAAAGAACTAGATTACCACACACTGGTGTTACATTTCTTCCCTGTCGTTCACAACTATCTGGAAGACTGGCTCTCCAGAATACTCGATAGAACCCAAAACCTACAAATGTCAGGCCTCAGCTTCCAAATTAGACTGTGAGATCTTGCAGTATGAAAGGCATGTGCTATTCTTTACATTGCCTCACATCTTTGGATATAGTACCTAGCACAAAGCAGCATCTATATTATGCATGTTCAGCAACTGTATTAAAAAAGACAGGGGAAAGAAAATAAATCAATAAAAAGTAAAAAGGACAGCGGACATAGTTGGGAACCTGTCCTAATAATCCAGTCTTATTGTGATCATTCTTGGTGAATTCAAGTGATAAAGATTAATCAGCACAGTGACAAAGGTAGGAGAGATGCTGTCAACTCACTGAATGTAGGTGAGAGAGGAGTAAGAGAAAAAACCATTCAGAGGTTTTGATCTCAGCTGATAGATTGGATTATGCCGAAGAGAAAAGTGCTGGAATCTTCCTTTCCCCATGGCCCTCTTGCCTTCACTTCAGGTAGAATGTGGGGCACAGATTCCCTGTGAATATCAAGCTGAAGTGTTTCATACAAGCAAACAGACATGGGACATTCAAAAGAGTCCAAAAGGCTAAGAAAAAAAGGTTTGCTTTATCTCTCTGAAGAACTTTGTTCCTCTGTGGAAGAGGACACATTTGAGCTGAACGTATTTTTGGTTGGTACAACTTTAAGTGTTCTGTTTGATAGCAGCGTTGTTTGAATGGCCTATTTCATAACTACACATAGCTTTTCCAAATAAATGGTGTCTGTAGAATGTTCAGGTTAATGCATGAGTCCAGTGCTGAAGAGTGTTTGCGCTTACAGCGACTGAACCTTCTTTCTTAATAAGTCATCTTGGCATTTTGTCAACAAGTTAATTTGCTTTTCTAAGAAACTAGATTAATACTTCCTGTGCTTTGTGCTATTCACAGATCTACAGTACAGTGAGAAGAGAAGAAGCAGAAAAGACAGTTGGATCTCTTCTCCATTTCTTCACAAAGCTCCTAGCCCCTGAGACGGGCCATGGAAGGATTAGCATTGGTCCGTGCTTAAAGCAGTGTGTCCGAGACACTGTATGCGAGTATCGCACCACCCTCCAGAGGACTTCCATATCTCAGTACGTCACTGGTTCTCTCCTAGAGGCAACCACATCTTTAGGAGCAAGAAGTGGTCTTCTAAATACTTTTGGAGGATCCACTGGACGAACGATGCTGAAAGGTAATATTCAAAATGCCATTTGTAACTTTTGCCTTTGCCTTAGAGAAGGATCTAAATTAACATTATGCATCTCCTGATGGAAAATAGAGTTCATGTATCAACCACTTGAAGTAAAAACAACTACTGTGAAATAATATAAAAGATAGTCCCTATTAAAATACTTTTAGAGAATAAACATTCCAAATAGTAACCATTAAAATTTTGAAGTTCCTTTTTAAAAAGAAATAAATAGTTAAACTACCATCCATAATTTTTTTTAAAAAAGTATTCAGGCAAGTGGTTTCTCTTAGTGGTATTCATGACAGATGTTAGTACCATAACAAGGTACTAATAAACAAGTATGGTCATGTGGTAACATTGAAAACCACCAGTGGTTGGGAACAGGGTGAAATATAGGTCCCTTTCAAACTCATAATCATTACGTTCCTACTGACCAGGAAAGCTAAGGACCACCTTCCCATGAATCCCATCTTAAAGGACAACATAAGCAGGCATAGTCCTGAATGTGAAAAATAGTGCTTAAATATGAAAAGCAATGGAAAATAGGGTCCTGCAGCATTTAAACTTCTCGTCAGTAGCAGACAGGAAGGTCAGAAATGGTAGTGCGTCAAACAACCTTGGAGACTTGTTCACTGGACAGCTGTCACAAGCCACTTGGCTGTCTTTCCCGGCAGGAAGCTACCAGCCAGACAGGGATGATGCAGAGATGCATTCCACTGCCTGGGGGCCGCCAAGAGCTCCAGCTGATATCTGGCAATTTTTTTTCAAGGAGAGAAGCTATTGTCCCACCACAGTGAGCCCTGATCCCAGAGTCAGCAGGCCAGTGACCTTCCTCCTTGATGCTCAGCCTTCCCCATGCCACCCATACACGTGCCAGCAGACCTAAGAGGAATGCCACCACCTCCATCTGTACTGTGTTGGGTGCCATGTTGGTTTGTTTCCTCAAATCACCTTAACTTCTGGGGATTTTTTTTTTTTAATGATGAATGAAGAAAACCATACAAAGTGGGAACACTAATCTAAGAGACTAACGGGGAAAAACTTGATTTCATCCATTTAATATGCAAACTTTTGAGCTCCTATTTGTCTCTGTGTGCTAAGAAAAGAAAAATATAATTCCTGCCCCCAGGACCTTATATTCTCTAGGTGATAAGCAGGTTTCCTTATAAAGAGAATTCAAGGTTTCTCCACTCTGCTGTGGCCCCCAGAGAATGGCAGGTTTGCATTCTCTCTCAGTGCTGTTCCAAGGAAGCTGAGCTGAGACTGTTAGCATGTGAAATTAGTATTGCTTAAGTGCCTGTGACTATATGCCAGGACCTCATCCTGGGAGCTCAGCAACCTGGCTTATCAGATACCCACTAGAGACAACAGTGTTCAGGTATTATGGGAGACCCTGCTGAAGTATTAGGTCAATTTAAGCCACTTATGAGAAAGCAGATTTGCATGCACCAAGTAATCAAAAGATACTGTGAAACTGCAAAGAGTTAAATGTCAAATATTGTGGAAGTGGTCATAAGTGTTCAGAGTTTGGAGAAGGAGTTAATGTTTTATATGATAAATGGCTTGTTTTGAAAAGTGAGGCTTCAAATAGACAAAAGTCCATACAAACTACTTAGTTTCTTCTCCATGAATTTGCTAAGGGACAGATCTCTAAGCTCCCCAACCAGAGTAGGCATGCCTGTAGTGTTCTACAGATGTGTGGGGAGAAAGGAGATTCTTAGACCCTGTTTTTGTTCCCTAGTAGCAGCTTATTCATGGTTGCTGTTTTCCCGTCCCTGTTCGGAATAGAGACTCATAGACTGACATTCACAGCTGAGAAACTCACCCACCATCATGTAGTGTATGATATTTCAGTTAGCATTTTAAGCAAGAGTTGAGGGTTTTCTTTAACATTCGTTTTTAGCTCTTTAGTCATTTCGAATGACTCTCTCTAAGTTATTCCTTCTGAGTAATCCAGTTGGCTCATTGTCTTCTCTGGGTTTATTTCTGCAACTTCCGCTTTGCTTTCTTAGAAACCATTTTCAACTTCTGCACCCTCTTCTGACTTCAGTGACTTCTTCAAAGTCTTTTTTGTTTCCCAGTTAAGCATATCTTCTTCAACATGCAATGGGAAAAAATATATTTAGAAATACCCTACAGTTTAAAAAAAAATCATAAATAGGTGAGGCAATGTGTATGCTCACTAGCTTGATTGAGCCATCTCACAATGTAGATATGCTTCATAACATATTGCACACAATAAATATATATAATTTTTAAAAATTAAATGTTTGAAAAACCAAATGGATCTTCCAAGTCACAAGATATTGACAGAATCCATGCAATCACCATATTGGCTTGTGGGTTTTGAACACTTATGACCATGTGCCTGTATCCTCCACCAGGGGGTCTGAAGGAGGTACTGGCTGCAGTGATTCGTCTGACTTCTATTACTGTTTAGTATATGCCTTTTGGCATAAATTTGATTTACAGCTTTCAGCTCTGAATTGCTAATGAAAATCTGGGAGGAGTTTCTAGTACACAATTTCCAGTGAATTGTGAATTGTATTCTAGAAGTTCATTTCTCAGGAGTTGTTTGGAACTTAGAACACTTGCCTGGAGAAACAGTATTATCAGTGAATTGGTTCCCAGACTCTAATCTTTAAAAATCTCTTTAACCCATAACACAGTTAAAATTTACATACTTCTCGTAAAATGAAGAAACAGTTCTATTGAGATGCAGAGCATCTGCCTCCAAGAGAAAAGCAGTACAAGTGTGTTAAAAGATACTTTTTGTTGCAAAGAAATAATTTTAATTGAAGGAGAGTTAATATAAAACTTTAATGGTGACTGCAAAGAACTTTTAGCCCCTTTGAAGATTTTGGATGTTAGTAGCTGTAGTTCTTTGTTATAGTTAATTATACTCTTAAATTCATACTGTGTGAAAGAATCAGAAAATTACCCCAAGTATCTTTTTTTTCCTTTTTAAAAAGGGGATGCTTATAAATGGGAAGAAGGAGACAACACATGACTTTCAAACTTTTTCCCAGAGAGAAAGGGAAAGGAAGAGGTCAAAACAATGACTTCTGTGGGAGAAATCATGTTTGAAGTCCATTAAATGGATTTGGGAAGGTAGGCAAAGGAGGAAGAGAAAGATAAATGCTTATGAGTCTGCTTATATAAAGCACTTATAATAGGAGAAGTCATGGAGACAGAAAGAGGGGTGTAAAAAGCTAAGATAAAGAGGAGATGGGAGTTAGTATTGAAGGATATGAAGTTTCCATTTTGCAGGATGAGCGTTCTGGAGGTAGACGATACAACCATGTGCATGTCTGTAATATCAGTGAACTTTGTGCTTAAAAAATGCTACGATGGGAAATTTTATATTTGTATTTTACCACAGTAAAAAAAGAAATGAAAGGAAAACAGAAGTCTTTCGTCCCAGGTCCATTATGAGGTTAGAAAGAACTGAGGACTCGTCTCCTGAAAGTGGCTAAGATCACGATTGAGGACTTAGGCAGCCTGCAGTGGGTACAAATAGGGAGAAAGAATATCCAGCCAGTTTATCATTACCCCCAAGTCGGGACTTGGGAACTCAAAGCTACACTGTCCAGAGTTTGCAGCATTACAAGTCTGTGGGATGGAGAAAGACATCCAACAATTAGGACACAAACTGCGTGGTTTTCTGCCTTCAAGGGTAGCAAGGATGGTCTTTGTATTAAGCTGAAAGTTTCCCAAATTGTTAGAAGCATTTTCTGATATCAACTATTAGATAGCCAGGGTGTGCCCTTGATTACAAGAATGTGCTGTCTCCAGCAGAAAAACAGAACTTACCCCGTGTCCTAAGGGACTTCTACCAGTTTGATAAAGATAAGCTCTTTCTACTTCCTGTTCTCTTCTTCCTCTCCCATTCCCTTTGTCAGAATCCCTGGACTAGGATCCTATAGCAGTGACAGACAGAAGAATCATTGACTTCAGTAATCAAGAAGAAGCAAGATAAAGAGAAAGGGGAGAGAAAAAGTGAGATAATTAGATATAAGCACTAAAATAGCAAAATAGAAAAAACAAGAGGATTTTCAAATAATGCAGCGCAATGTTCCCACATGTGCATATGGTAACAGCTGACATAACATATTTAGTGCATTAAACAATTTTTTACTCCTCATATTTTGCTGAGTAAAATTTGTAAATTAAGCAGTTAAATATTACATATAACCAGAACAGTGCTTACTTACCCATATTTAAATTATGCCGTGAAAAAGAAAACTCCACTGTTCATGTGTAACAAGTTTGAATGTGTGGAATGTGTAGAAAATAATTATATTGAAGTTACTGGTCATATGTAGACTGTAAATTAGAATATTAATATAAAGACAAAATGTGCCTTAAAGTTTTAATATTCTTATTTGAAATTAGGAAATATTTTGCTTCTGATAGAAAAGTCTGATAAATTTTCAACTTATTTTGCTTTCACTGAACTAAGTATATACTATTTGAGTCTTCTAAAATAACAGTTTTAATATAAAAATAAATCATAGTCAAAATACATATACACATTTAAAACACATGGCTAAAAAATAAAAATAAATAAAACATATGACTATACCTCATAAATAATTTAGTTTATGATGACTGTCTCAGTTAACTTCCTTATAGTCAAAACACCATTTACATGCCACCGGGCTGGGAAGGCATGTGCATAGTTCTAATTCCAACATTCAAATTTATTCAAAGAAATGCCATGATTTATTAATTTTGTCACCTGGAAATTATTTTTGTGTGTTAAGTGTGCTTTAATGTAATACTGTATTGTTTCTGTGTCAGTTAATCAACTAAGAGATACTCACTGGTTCCCTAATATAGTCTGGTGCTATGTTACCTATAGGAAGAATGCAAAACATATTTGGAAGTCTTCACCTTGTAAAATAGTATTTCTCATTGCAGAGAAAATATAATATTAGGTTTCAGTTTAGTAAAATAGCCCTTCCCACCTGAAGAATATCCATGGTTCACGCCTATAA